AAAAGGGCTATTTCATCCCTGCCATTCTGTACGTCTGTATTTGACTATTCTGAGACAATTATAACTTTTCAAATAACTGTATTTTATGTGTTTAATAATTTATGTGGATTGAATACCCTTCTACATACATACAAGCATGTTTATGTTTGTTCTGTCCTTTTTATTTTGCGTATATAAACGAAATTAGCCGTTTAGTCCACTACACCAGTGTATAGATATGCAACGTTTAGGAGAAGGAAAAAGATCCTAGTTTCCGCAAAATACTGTCAATTTAGTTCTTCTATGTGGTTTAGAGACTAATGGCGAATTTCGGAACTAATTAAAAGGTACTGCAGACTACAGAGTAAAATAGATTTCTCCTGCCTAAACTTTATGTTCATCTAGGAACCCACAGGAATAATTAATTACGACGAATCTGATTCGTTGTTCAAGCTCATTTGAAAGGTCAGTCGCTTGGGTAACAAAAATTTAAAAAATAAACATTTTCAATTCATAACATAGTGTGACCACTTCGCAATATCATCTTCGAATGAGTAGTTACTGCCTGACCTTCAACCTGCTGCATCCTACTAGTTACGGCTTCCCACTAGAACCCTAGGTGAACGGCATAAATAGGTCCAGTAGCTAATGAGCATTAGATTAATTTTCATGAATTGGCAGAAGTTGGAATTATTGAGCTGGCCATTGGATTAGGTCCCAGTAGCCTAATGGTCTACAAGCTAACTCACCTAGTAACCAGAAGGTCGTGGGTTCAGATTGCAGTCGGGTGGGTGCATACTGATGCAGAGTCCCACACTAGGACGAATCAGCTGGTTGTCCAGTACTCCCTGCAGGTTTTCAAATGGTTCGCTAACTGATGATGAAATCCTCCAATCAATCAAACAAAAACCCTTTCAAAACTAATACTCAAGTTGTAGAGGAAAAATGCGAGTGAGTACCTTTGTGCTAATAGGCTAGGGAAATTATCTAAAAGTACCAACAACTAACTACATACGGTAGTAGATGTAGTAATAAGACCTGGCTCTTATCATACTTGTTACTACAATTCATAACAGACCTACATCACATAATTCATCCAAGGGGAAGCATAGAAAACTTTTCAATCTACTGTCATATTCATCTAATAATGTTTCTGTCACATGATTTTCGATAGATTACATAATCTGTTATCAGCTGAGGTTTAACTGTCTCCATTACTACGAGTGGAGTAATACAGGTCAGTGTTATCCACCCCTCCCCCCGAGTATAAATGAATCTCAGCTCTTTTATTTTTATTATATCTTGTTATCAGTTATGACACATATATGTAATAAAACGCTAAGGTTAAATTATTAGTAAGGCTTATATAATAGTGATTAGTTGATCAGGGGATAATTTCGGTCTTAACAAAGGTTGAAAGAGGTTTATTTTCTTTCTTTTATGGTTATTACTGGTAATTAAATTGACAGAAAAACAGATGATGAAAAATGTTGAACTCTTCTGTTATTTCATTGAAAAATGACAGATAATGGTTTCTGTCACATGCAACATCATCAGTTTTAAGGCTCACCTGCATAAGAATAATGTATTCTTGAGACAGCTAAATAAGATTTTATGTTTTTTTAATGTAATTATGTATCCAAGGTAGAAGAACCTTAAAAAAATACATTGCAAATGTGAACTAACATCATTTAGAGAAAAGTTTGAAAATCATCGAGTAAGAGGATAGTTGTTTCGTCCCAATTTGGAACTCTTCAGTAATAGCAAGCACTCATCACCGCTTAGGTGCGTACTGTTCAAGTAGGCTTCCAGTAAATTGATCATCCTATTGAATTATCTCATTTTCGATGTATTAAGTGATTATGTATGAAAGGTAAGTGGGTGGATGCATGGAGACGGTGGACACGCGGCCTCATCAGTAGGAAAACAAGTTGTGTGCATAAAGATCACAATATTGATAATAATGACAAATTTCAAAATCCCCACACAAAAACTATTATGTTGTTATGCTTGGAGTACTGGACAGCTGTTTCGTCCTAGTCTGGGCGTCATCAATCTGTGGTCTAACCTGAAATAAATATATCCCCTACAAAGTAATTCCTGAAAATTAATCCTACGCCCGCTAATTACTGGCTACAGGATGAAGTTTTCCTAAGTTCTTGTGAGACGTTGTGACCAGTGTAGTCCATCCAGTTAAGTGTGAGTATGGATATCCCGCCGCTGACATTGTTTTGTGGTCGCCCTAGATAACGAATTGACTGGCCATTGAATCGAGTCCTAGTGACTGAATGGTATATGAGCGTGCATTGTGAGTGAAAGATTGTGGGTTTTAACCCTGACAGTGGGTGCGTACTGTCAAAGAATTCAAACTAGGATGAAACAGCAGGCTGTCCAGTACTCCAGTGCTGGTTTTCAATGGTTCTCTAACTGTGATATCAATTCGTGGTCTTAACCTGAAATTTACGTATATTACAATCAAATCTGATGAGATCTAATTGTGAAATACTGTTGTTCACTTACATGTGCTGTTATTAACTCTGCACTCTTGTCAAATGGATGCTAAAGCACTTTGCTTCTTTTCTAGTAAAACTCTCACAATTATTAGGTTTTAAATCCTCACTTCGATGATGTCGCTGACTTTAACATAACCTTACTTTACCTTTAAAAACCACTCCTGAGTTATTGTGTGAATTATATCACTCAATAAGAGAATATACAAATACAACTGTACAGACTTTGACGACGGACTTCCTTGATAGACGGAATTTTCTCCGCTTAATTATCTTCTTCATATTATTAAACAATCAACCATGATTTGAAACACTTCAACTAACGTCTTCCTCGATGTATTTTCATGTAGTCTGTCGAAAAATGTGTAGAGTGAAGGTCATGAAATTGAGACATACGTTTTGTTCATATATTTCTAAAAATTGTATTAAAATATGTTATACGCTAGTACAATTCGTAAGCATTCTGGTTTACCACTGTATAGGTAGCAAATTTCGAACATGAAATTGGCACACTATGCAAACAGCGCAAAGGATGTCAGAATACAACTTAGGTGGGATTCTTTTTCGTTCATTTCTTTTCATTCCCTGTTGCTTTCCTAGTGGAAGATGTGTCTACGAAAACTTCAAGGTATAAAGCAATCAAATTCTTTTATGAATGATAATAATGATGAAAATGAACTGTCTCATGGTTTTGTAGAAATTTTCCGAAATTTCTACAGTAGCAGTAATGTTTCTTATTACAAGATGGGGTTGCTAGTCTCATTCCCTCTTTGTCTGGCCGGTCTAAGCGAGGTTCAGAAGTGTTTCTCACGGGAATTCCTCCTGAATCACTGATACTAAGTAAATATTGATTGATGAGGTTATTTGAAATATCTATGGGTTTGTAAATCATGATTTATGCAATGGTTGGTGAATAAAAGTGAAGTGAAAATGTGAATCCCTGTCCGACTAAATAGGACACCCACCCATACAGTCACTAGCCTGATGTTATGTCATCTAAGCCATGAGATCCAACTGCTGACCATACGATCATTTCACTGCAATCACTACAAGGTCGAATCCTAACACGACTAAGATTTTCATTTCATTATTCATCATCACCTATTATAACATCAAAAACAGTCTGCTTAGCCACGATTACCTCAGAGAGTTGCATCACCAGTTGCGAATCTACTCCTCTCCCTTGAATTTATTAAGATTATGACTGACAGAAGAAAGCCTAGTTGAACTGGTAGCACTGTTGTGGTAAACGGCAAGTAACGACGTATCACTGGTTCACATGGCTATTGATGTAGTGGTTGATGTGTCGTGATAATCTCGTTGTCAGTTGTGCCTCGATAACTGAGTCAATAGAACACACGACTAGTATTTTGTAAGCGGTAGGTTTCAACCCTGCCATGACTTAGGTATTCGCCCTAAATCATCGGTAAGCATATCTATAAAAAATACGTTTCATGCATAGTGAGACTGTTTTAAGTCAAAGAAACAGATCACAGAAAAAAATGACAAGTGAAAAAACCTTTCAATTAAGCTTTAAGGTAGAATTCAAAAGGTTAAAAGTAGACTGGAATTTAGGATGGACTACTTTTAGTTGACGTATTACAAAACTAGAAAGACATCAGCTTTCTGTCTACCTTAACATAACGACATATTAAACTAAAACCTGGTGAAATGGACCGTGCGGTACACCATGGGAAGTAAGAAGACAGGAATATGTTGGACCGATAAGAAGACTTCGAAAGATTTTTAGATATCAGATAATATGTATCTAATGTCATACAACTTCTAAGGTCTAAAGACCAAAACCAACAGGTTGGTGGAAGAGGCTGGCAGAGAACACAGGACTTCGACTTAACATAGAAAAGGCAGCAATCACAGTCAAAGGGAGAAATTTGAAGCAAGCTAACTACGTTATCAACCTAGACAACATAGTTTCAACTACACGAGGAACGGTCGAAGGTGCCAAAGCCAGGTATAGAAAGGCGAAAGAGATCTTTATAAATCCCAAATCAGTGTAAAAATGCGATTCACTCAGCGCAAAGAAGAAAATTCGGACTTTCAACACTGATGTTGAGTCCCTGGTTCTATATGGTTCATAGAAATGTCATGGGCTTCATGGATATCATTTTGAACAGGCTTCGGACAGCTGCATTTGCTCTGGGATGAAGACACCATGGCCAGAAAGGATTAGCAGACGGTGAACCAACCAAGAATCCGTTTTCCCCCAAAATTCTGCAGGAATACAGATTGACTGGTCACATATTGAAGAGAACTCTGAACGAAACCATGCACTAGGCATACATTCTAGTGGAACCAGAACAGGAAATGGGTAACCAGTTGGGTATGCATAAAGGATGAAGTGGAAGTATGCTCAGAGCTTGACAGATTAATAGTAATAAACTACAGTGATAAGTGAACAGCCCAGTCACAAATCACCAAATGCAATTAACACTTAGGCGTAAAAGTAAAGTGAATAAGAACAAAAGCAATAAAATTCAAAGCATCACTTACCAAACCATGTCATTTCAAAACCACCAAATTTTTTATGCGTTACACCATGCAGCTTTTTAATCACCTTATCCCAATCTAAATGTCTTGCTGCAACTGGTGCCATCCATCGATATACTGTATTATCAGTATTTCCTGGTTCTTGGATAAAAAATTTGATTGATAATAATCTTGGTCTTGAAGAAGACATTGGGTGTAAGCTGTGTTTTTCAATTATTACAGTTACTATTATTATTACTATTACTATAGAGTGTGTCCAGTTGTCTCACTTTGATTACACGAAATAAGGCTTGTGGGATATGAAAGGTACTTTTTCTGTGTTTTATATAGTTCTTATGAACTATCGATTAGTATTATGCAAATTCAAGTGTAGACTATTCACAAACATTAAGACATGGTTTATATATATATACGCATACATATATGTACTTATCACAATGTAAAAAGGCCTAATCAACTATTGGTCAACTGATGATTGAACCAAAACCAACCTTTCTCTCTCTCTCTCTCTTCTTCTCTGTCTCAAATATAGTTTCATTGTGTAACACTCAGAGTAACATGATAGATCGAAACATGTGACTAATTGCAGTGAATTGATTATCTTTTCAAATGAATTAGTGAGTGAATAGATGGATGGATGGATGGATGGATGGCTGAGTGAATAAGATGTTGAACCCAGTTTGAGGGATTCAAACAAATAGAAAAGCAGAAATGCGGGTGATAATTTATGTGAGTAATTCACATTACTGATTATGAATAAAATCAACACTAATCGGTTGTTCAATCGACCTAATGACCTGTTAAATATCTACTAAGTGTACACCAAATACTCATAAATTGTTTCCGTGTCTGTGAAATTTATGGCTAAAAGGTATTTGAGTCATTTTATTGGGCCGTGGGGGCGGCGAATGTGTTTAGGCACTGTGAACAGTATATCACAAGATAGAACTAATCAGCTCTATATATATGGTTTACAGCAGGCTGCGAGTGAGGATTGATACTCGTCACGGATGTCATTAGCTAACGGTTGCGCTATATCATGAATTGTTAGAAGTTGGAATTCATAGGTTGGTCAATGAGGCCAATCAGGTCCCAATGGCTTAATGGACTACGAGTAAGCTCGCCTTGTAACCCGAAGGTGCTTGGGTTGGAACCCTGGCGATGGGCGCATACAACTGAAGAGTTCCAAACTAAAGAAAGAACAGCTGTCCAGCATTTCTACTTTTTCCAATGATTTTCTAATTAATGTCAGTTAATGATGAAATCCTGTACTTGTCATTAACAGACTTGATGAAATTAGCTTAAAAAAATAACTATGAGCAGTTTCTAGTTGCTAATGCAGATTGATGATGCGTTAAGATAATATCATTGCAAAAGTTGAAGATTGTAGTAGAATGTTACCACATATTAGGTAAGTTCATTTAACACATAACAAACAGTGATATAGTATTCATAACTGGATGACATTTCAAACACAATTTATAGTTCACAATCATATTATTGCATCCAGGCGACTTCTTAAATGACTTCATATGACTTTGCATCTACATGTTTTTCCAATACATGTTTCGTATATCTGGGAGAGGTATTGCGTGACTTCTGTTGCATATATAATTCACGTTGACTCAAAGAAGAAATACTCGACGAATAACATATCTATTCACTTGATTGTAATACTTTTTAACACTTTTACTACTCTACCCCCATCCTATTGTGTGATTGCGTTTAGATGGATGCATAGCAATGAGTTGGCTTTTTTCTTAATTACTTCATTTATCCGAGTTAATCCTTGTAGATCTAGTTCAATTTCTACCTTCGGAGAACCTAAATGACATGAAATCGTCTAGTCTGACATACATACATACATACATTACTGACCTCACGGTTATTAGATGGTACTCAGTAAACTACATAATTCTTCCTAACTAGATCTGTCGGATATTTGAACCGACAAAGTTTGTCTCTGAGTAAGTTGGCTAATTTAAGTCCCACACTCTAATCGTAACCCATAAGCTGTTTGGAAAATCCCGCTAAACGATCTATTTATAGTATTTATCCTTATTTGAACGTTTCAACTTACCTTCTAATTATTACATTTCTTTCACCAAGACTGTCTATCACTAATTTGATACTTGCATACTACACGTTGATCTTTGATCTTTGTTATTCACCTCTGTTCTTGTTTAATCTTTAATTGTATTGCTTCTTTGTGTGTGTACACTGACAGTGTGTGTTGTTTAACAATATGAGTTTCAGGATTTCATCATGAGCTGACATTGGTTAAAGAACCATTGGAAAACCTGGGAGTACTGGAAAGCTGTTTCGTCCTAGCTTTAAACTCTTCATCAGTACCCACCCACCATCATGGTTCGAACTCAGGACCTTTTGCTTACAAGGCGAGCTCATATACCACTAAGCCTCTGGGACCCGGTCCCATTGCCCATGAATTCTAACCTCTGCCAATTCCTGATATAGCACAACCTCTAGCTAATGTCTTCGGCGAGTATTTATCCTCACACCCGACCTGCTGCACCCTACTGGTCACGACTCTAACCAATGTCAGCTCGTGATGAAATCCTGTAACCAATCAACCAAATCCCTACAAACCAATACTTGACTATCAATATGAGTTCGTTTGAGTAAATGAAAGTCAGTCTGACCCAGGACTGTGAGTAGGAGGCTTTTGTGTGTGATTCTTGTGGACTGAGCTTTTGACCTGACCCATCTGAGAATATTCACCTTGATTCTAAGCTATCTTTTGCAGTAGAACTTCGGTTAACTAATTTTGTCCTGCAGAGCTTGCATTGTATGTAAAAAAAAAACCTTCCTTGTATGGCCTCACGGCATGGTGTTATAATTGTTTAATAGAACTGCTACAATATTGAAGGACAATCATCTTTTCCTTGCGTTTGGAACGCTTCAGGATAACGCCTGTCTCAACGGACTTTCGTCAGCTATAACGAAGAAAGTAGAGATAGGTTTCTTACCTTCAAACCATATGTGAATAAGTCTGGTTATTGCACTAACTCCAGCCCCCTAGAGAATCCTACGTAGGGCATTTGGTGTTCCTTCCTTATGTGGCAGTACCACTTATCATTTCTATTTATTTCACTCTTGACATTACCACTTTTACTTCCTTTGTGTATTCATATATTTTTGAATAAAATATGGTCACTATCAGTGTTTTCTTCGCATAACTGATTTTAATATTTAAATAGTGTGACTTACTGTTTTAAATATATTTGAATTAACAGGTCGATAGTGACTGGCAGTTTAATCCAGGATAACACGCACTTCATCCTTTCTGAGACTCGTCCACCAGCTGGATGTACCGGTATTTCCCAGTAAGTGGTGGTGTTCCCACTAAAGCTCGAACCCAATGCCCATAGTTTCAAATGCCAAAGCGTTTTCCACTAGACCATTTTGGCCACAAGAAGCACCTCTTATTCTGCGGGTCATATTCATTATTTAGTTCAATTTAGATTTACTGTCGATTGACTGGACCTAAGTGCTTGGCACTGGGTTCTAACCCCATTGGGAACACCATCACTTACTGGGGGTTACAGGTATATTAAGCTGGTGGCCGAGTCCTAAACAGTGGGAATGTGCATCTTGGATGCCACTGCCAGTCACAATCCACCAGTTGACCTCAGGTCATATGACCAGACTCTGTTGAAGCATCTGCACAAGGAGCCGATATATGAAATTGAGATCGAGTATCTCCGTCCAATCAATCGACTGGAAAATCTACATTGAATCAGATTAAAGCTAACATTTGAATATTTGTACAAGTTGTAATGATTCATTGATCATTCATTCAGCAAGATTTATGCTGACAGCCATTCAATAGAAATTCCATCGTTACTCATTTTAAACCCTGATGGATTTACATATTCTTAGAGGTAAAACTAATTTATGTCCGCCAGGGAATATACGGAGTGTTTATTAGTTGCTGGTTTGAGAAACCTTGAAAATATGTGCATATATGTGTGTGGGTTAGGTGGTTGGAGGCAATCAATGGACATCCCTGGACCCAGATTTCATGCTTATTGACACTCGTCAGCATGATATCCCTGCAACCTCAAACGAAATGATGCCTTTATGGAGATTTGGATCCGTGTCAACCACGGCTGCAATCTGAGGCGCTATCACTGGGTTCTATATACATGTGTTAAATGGTATGCTCGGATCAAATTGTGGAATCACGCATCAGCATAAAACAATGCCTATACCGGTGGTCAGCCATTCACCTCAATTTTATCTTCTTTGAAAAAGATATCGGCGAAGTAATTTAGAAACTGTTTCAACGCTACAAAATAGGGTAGACATGTGTAAACCTTATTTAACAGCTATTTGATGATGGCGCATGTCAAGTAGTTCACAAAAGAAAGCTGAGAGAAGCCAAGAAAAGAATGAAACATGGCTGTCTACTAGCAACGATGATATTCCTAACTGTGGCGGCAGACTGTGAGTATTGGGCAAAAGAGCCAACGTTGGACGAACAGGAATACCTCAGAAGATTTGGTTTTCACAAATGATGGTTGTCTCATGTCTCATAAGCAAAAACCAACAAGATGGGAGAAGAGGCAGTCAAGACAGAACTTATAGTGAACATAAAGAAGACTGAGTTGATGAAGATACCTGACCAATAGTAGCAAATACTAATCACCACCAATGAGGCAAATACAAAGGAAGTCATCCGTTTCCTTTACTTGTCCGTGTAGCATCTTTCCTATTATAGGTGGCACAGATGAGGATTGCACGGCCAGCTAAGATCAAGGAAGCAAGGCAAAGGTTTATTATTTTGAAATCAGTGGAACGATCTACAGCACTTGGTAAAGCGAACCAAAATTTCTTATTTTTTGAACACTAATGCCAGGTCACTGCGTTTTATGTCGTTCAGAGAATTAGCATGCCTGTCAATAAAAGCATTTCTATCAGGTAGCTATCTTCACTCTATACAGTGAAAGTCGAATCACCTTGCAGAAAAAAATAGTCGACAAGGAACTCTGACATGCAGTGAACCAGAAAAGGATATATTCCTAAACAAATATAGACAAGAAAATGAAGATGAATTTGTTATACGCCGAGGACATACCATGCCAGGTCATTGAGTGCTACTTGAAGTGATATCAGAGTTTTGTTTGCAGTGTGGACGTGCTGCTGAAACCCTGTGTTTCACTTGGAAAATAAGAAACGAGTAATAAAATAATTACAGTTTATACTCTAACGTTTCTGTCTCTTTTTCTCTATTCTAAACATTACATACTACTTATTTCAGAGTCATTAATAACTTGTGGAGTATTCACTACAAACAGGAGGTTTTTATGCGTAAGCTTTAAATCTTTAAATATTTTCATTATTAATATTAGAACACGACATATAAGCGAACAAGATTGTTCTCAATTGGATCTTCATCAGGCTTTATTCTTATTTACATAGATTTCTAATATAAAAGCTTTTGATCAATTACGGTGATTTTGTGGATCAAATAATAATAATGTGGTAAATGTTTTGAACGTCATTTAGGACGATGATTACAATGAGAACAAAATAATGATAATAAAGTTCATGCAGATGGTGATAACAATAACGAAGGTAATAATATGTGTATGTGTAGACAATTCAATAAAAAAAATTAGGTAAAATCTGAAAAGTTACATAATACTAAAGGTGATGAAGTGGACAGATGATCAGAGTTTAAATAAATGCCATAAAAGTGAGAAGGAAATGGGTAGGAGGGTTTTGATTAAGACTCACCTAGGCCAAGGAAGAGGCAAAGGTAGAACAAACTTCTTTTGTTGTATACAAAGGCACTAGAATTGTTCTTTTGAATTAATTCTCAAAGCTTTGGCTATGTGTAAAAGGCGTGTTTCAGTTCCGTTTGAAAAACTCGATAGAATGAGATAGATAACCTCTATGGCACTTCTTCTATTCACTTGGTGACCACTGTCATCTATCTAATGAGTTAAAATAGAACTTCTTATATATTTTATTTGACCTTTTCCGAACTATAAAGGAAGATGCTCATTAATGCTCATGAAATTTGTAGATACACATAGAAGTGGAACAGCTAGGCAGTTTCTCTTTCACTTGAGCAATCATAATTAGTTGGCTGGATAATCTTAGATATAAGACTTCGCTAACCACTTCCCTATTAAATTTCAATTTAGGAACAGTTGTTTCTTTATTAACCGTTGTCAGTTTCTCTTTATTATACTTGGTGTTCATGTGTCTGCTTACAAATCTACTACGATAACCCATTTGGACAACTCATTTTCTATTGAGTCATCTTAAAGTTTAAATACTGCAATTGGATTAAGCTTTTATGATGGTTTTTAAACTGTTACGACGGACAAGTTTCATTGTTAGAGTTATATAGACCCAGTTTTGCCTAAAAACTTAAAATAACCGTTTTAGGAAGTTATCGCGCACTGGCGTGAACGCTTTCTTTTTCCCTTTGTTTGGATTATTGAATTCCTATTAGCTTTTGGTTTTCAGGGTCTTTTCAAATGTATATATATGCAGGAAGAAATCCAGATGGATTGGACTGACCATACTCTGAGAAAACAAACCACCATCAAGTGACATTCATCACATGCCAGGCCATCGACCGAGTGCAACCTGAATAGGAATCAGCGAGTCAGTTGGTCTTCAGTCTGAGGGCGACATAGAAGAGAAGATAATGGCAAGAGGAGATGAAAGCATGTGAGCAGACATGGAGCCAGGTGATGAAGACATTGGCAGAGAACCGAAGTCAATGGAAGCGTGCAACTGAAGCCCCATGTTCATCTAGAAACTAAAGTAGATAATTATGAATAATAATAAATGTAATCTCTGAGACACATCTCCATTTCATTCTGTTCTCTGAAGTCTTTCTAAATTCACTCCATGATTGTTAATAAGGTTTGATTTTCCCCTCATATTATCTGCTCAACGTCATACTCGGGTGCCTGACTTGCCACTTCTCTTCCGGGTTCCACCTGAGGTTTTACCTGGCGTGTAATATCACTTAATGGTTTGCTTAGAGTGTGCCCAATCCATCCCCTTTTCCTTCTGTATATATTTTGAGTGATAAGTCTCTGATGTGTTGTTTGCCAGAGTTCCTCGTCCGCTATCTGGTCTTCAAGGTAGAGCGAATGCATTGACGTGTCAGACTTGCTTTTCTTAACACCCCAAGTCTCTGAACCACAGAGAAGCACTGATTTGTCATCATTGTTGAAGATAAGGATTTAGCTCCTTATGCAGCGGATTTCCATACCCATTTCAGGGAGATGAAGTTTCGTCTAGTTTTTCGATCTTTTCTCGCCCAGCTCACTAGTACAGTAGCTAGTTCAAAGCCCGAAGAAAGGGACAAGACTGGCTGTCAAGCTAATGACCTTACATCGCAGAATAAGTTCAACTGCTACAGAAGCCTAAGAGAACATGAAACAGTACTGAGTGGATAGTAAACTTACAATACACACTAGTGAGTGTTTAGGTCCAGGAAGTCTTGGCCTCGAATCAGGTTCCATGTACAAAGCATCTCGGAAACAGATGTCCAGTGATTCCCGGGTTCTCGATAATTCAATAACTAGAATCGGTTTGTGACTAAATCCATCTTCAAAATAGTTGAATTCCGACTAACCCAACATCATAACAGTGAGATGTTTTTCTCAAAATAGATTGATTTTATATTCCATCATTAAAAAACGTCGTCAACGTACAATGATGTACAGTTCTATTCAGTTCTTAACATTCTTCTAAAGGATAACCAACTAATAACGATCAGTGTGACCACTTCATATTGCAGTGATCTTGCTGCAGACATTCAAATCAATAAAGTTGATCAAACAAACACCACTTAATTCATGTTAGTCATCGTAAAGATATGAGTTTTTTTATACTTTTATTCCTTTACGTTCCCAGTGGAACATAGGGCACCTTCAAGCTATAGCTTTGAAGTTTCCATAACAGTTGTATTTATTTTTACGGGATGGGTTTACCAGCTACCTCATGCACAACCTTCCCTCCTTGTCAATATTATTACTAGCTTAAAGAGGTAATGGAGGAGTGCATCGGTCGGGGATTGAACCCCGAACCACTTACGTGGTTGTCGACGAATCTACCGCTGTGCCACCGGCGCACAAAATTATACGAACGCTGTAACAATATTCACTCCTGATATGAACCTGTTAGAACTTTGTAAGGTTGGCAGTTTGAAAGCAAACATTTAACAAATCTTATCTGTTAACCAATCGACTGTCTAACTCTAGTCTGCCTACGTGTTCATCAAAGTGAGAACATTTGAAAAAAATAAATAATTCCAAGTAATACTTTAATAAATATTAGGTGAAAATACAAAATGTTGTTTTCCATTATGGCACCATATTAGATTATGCACAATCAACAGTCTTGTACTTGTATATAAAAGTAAATAAATAAGGCGTAGTGTAAACATGTTTGCATAAAGCGAACAAATATAGTAGTTAACATAGAAATCACTCTCACACTCTATTTCTGTCTTCACTCAAAGGCATGGAGAAGACAGATATGCTTTATTTGTGTTCTTAACTTTCTTTTAAGCCTTCGATCACTTAAAAGTAAAATTACAATATTTATATGCATTCAGAGAGGACTTTAGTAGATGAAGCCAACCTAAAATAGAAAAAGAACAATGTCAGGAGTTAGAAGATGTGATCAACGAATTACAAATTTACTTATAAACAAGGTTTACGATGGTCTACCAGCTCACCTTGTAACCAGAAGGTCCAGGGCTTGAACCCCGGCGATGAGTGCTGATGAAGTCTCCAAGATGAGCTAGGGCAAAACAGTTGTCCAGTACTCCCTGCATGTTTTCCTATGCTTCTCTTACTGCTGCCAGCTCATGACGAAATCCTCCAATCAATCAAACAATAATCCCTACAAGACCAATACTTGGAGATTCCAAAATAGTGCGTCAGTTAAACTTTAAACCAATCAAATCCCTCCAAAAATAATACTCGAAAATTAATCCAATGCTAACTAACAATTGACTAACTACAGTACATGGTTGCCTAAAGTTCCAGTGAGAAATTCTGGGTTCATAAGGTTTGGTAAGAGAAGGAATACCCACCGATGACACTAAATGGGGGTGACGCTAGTGAGCTGTTGTGTTCCCTCCTATTAGCTGGAATGTCACTGGTAAGCTCACCTTGTAACCTGATGGTCCCAGGTTTGATCCCCAGTGGGGTCATGAGTGAGCATTTCTGAAGAGTCCCAAACAAGGATGAAACATTTAATGGTTCTCTACCTCATATCAATCAATGACCGAAATTGCTATATAACTAGTCAGCTGAATAACTGAAAGATTGGGTTCACGAAAACTGTAATAATGAATTGGTGAAATAAGATTTAGACGTGGTGAAAGAAGATCGTAAATCACCGATTCCTCGAAGATGAAGACAAGGAAAACTGAATTAATTTAACAAGCTTATTGATAACATTTATGTGATAAGAGTCCTTAATTTCTTAGTCTTGACTGATGGTCAATCGAAAAGTTGGATTCAAGTATTGGTTTGTGGGGATTTGGTTGATTGGTTACAGGATTTGATCATAAGCTGACATTAGTTGGAGAACTATTGGAAAACCTGGGAGTACTGGACAGCTGTTTCGTCCTAGTTTGGGACTCTTTATCTGTACGCACCCACCACCAGGGCTCTAAATCTAGGACCTTCTGGTTACAAGGCGAGCTCACGACATAGCGCGAGCACTTCGCAATATCTTGGCAGAAGTTAGAATCCATACACCATCGGATCGGGTTTCGAAAGCTTCATAGTCTAGAAACTAGCTTGCCTTGTAACCGTAGGGTGCAGGGTTCGAACCCCATCGATATGTGTGTACTGATGAATAGTCTTAAACTCGGATGAAGCAGCTAGCTGTCCAGTACTCCCTGGAAGCTTTCCAATGCTTCTCTAACTGGCGTCAGTTCATAATGAAATCATCCATCAATTAATTAAAAGAATCCTTACAAAAGCCAACACTTGAAAAGGTGTTAATTTATCTACCATAGTGATGTTTTTCGTAATACAGTGACCAAAATTACCTTGTTAATGACTTTAAGTACGCAGTCTGTATGCAAGCAGTCTTAGTGTTCCTGTATTTTTCGTTTGATCTATTCCTGGCTACTATAGTATTTCGTAGAGTAATACTATAGTTAGTAAAAGTGAAATCAATGAAATCTTAAAGCTTGCAAAACCAACTGCAAATGAAAAAAATCCATTTTTCACCTAGTCACTCAAAAAGTCAGTCGAGAATGCAAATAGCTGAGTAACAACATCTTCAAATTCAGTACTTCTTGATGAGTCTCCTCATCCCAATGGGGACAACAATTCTTTTGTAGTTTCAGATAAGCACTACTTATGAGAGCTAATAAGCACTGAGTCTATGGGTAGCGCCTCCTTATTGCTGATCTTTCACTAATTAACTCAACAGTACAAGCCTTTTTGCATATTTGCAGAATTCTTTCAACAATGTGAATTATAAGAAATAAGACGTAAAATTGAAACGTTACTGCTTGGTAAGACAAGCAATTAGAGTATGACGATGATTAAGAAATACTGGTATAACTTTTAAAATCCAAAGTAATTAAGGTAATTTTCTCAACCGTTTACGTTTTAATAATCTAATCCTAAAAATAACATGAAAATTCAGAGAGATTTAGTCACCAACCTTTTCATGAATAAATTCGAAAATAGCATCTTTTCAAGCATACTCACTCCTAAAATATGGTTAAGATATGTGGATAATACTTTTGTAGTACTAAAACGAGATCTACACAATTCATTCCTGGAGAAAATAAACTGCGTATCTCCCAGAATCCAGTTCACTTCGGAAGCATAGTCAGACGTCAAAGAACTACCATTTCTAGGCTGCCTAGTTAAGAGGACGGAAAACGAACATTTTAGTATATCCTTATTCAGGAAGGAAACCCACTCCAATAAATATTTAGACTTCAGATCACCACACCTCATTAGCCCAAAGATTTGAGTTTTTTCAAGTCTTCTTAGACGAGCACACTCTCTGATGTCAACGGATGAGAAAGAAAAAGTGGAAGAAGAAATATCAAACATTACTGAAAATCTCAAGCAAAACAACTATCCAAAGAACTTCATCAGCAGAATCTAAACTGACAGTAAGTATGGCTGAAAACGCATTCTGAAAACATGGACATCAACAGTCGTTATTCCATATAGAGCAGAGACATCAGACAATATCAGAAGACGAGTACTCAATCAGCTCGACATTAGAGTTTTCTTCAAACCATCAGACACACTACAAAGTAACCCTGTCCATATAAAAGAACAAATCCCTAAAGATTCTCTGTCTAATTGTGTCTATAAAACGAAATGATTGGAATGTGATGAGATATACATCGGACAAACATTGCCACACAGAAATCAAAATAAGAAGAAATGAACACCGTAGAGCATCTTTGCGACCACCGAGAAATCCAGTTGAACTACAAAAGCTTGAAAAATCACTAGCCATAGGACTACACACACTATAGAATCAGGCCACAAAATTGATTTTGACACTATTGAAATCATCATCCAGAAAAAGCATTTCAGAAATCACAAAGAACGTCTGATATCATCAGAAGCACTTCATATCAAGTGGAATCCAAATTGCCTGAACTGAATAGGAATAATGGACTAAAACAGAATCTGACATGGCTACAACACCTCCTTCCCCTCCCCAACGAAGTGACAAAATCACCACGAATGTGATGATCAAGTTCATTATGCAAACACATACTACTTATATAATGTTAAACACTGATCAAATCCAACAATCTATCTCTGATTTTGTTATCTTTTTCAATTGACCAACTTGACAACAAAAAACAACCCCAGACAGACGAACGATGATCAAGTTAGTAAACTTTGTTTTGATAACAAACGTACTGTTGCCTTTGTTATTTAATTTAGCGATCTTCATTGTTATTTCGACTTTCAATATGTCCTTTCAACTTGACCTAAGTCTATTTTTCTCACCCCTTAACTCTTTGTTATATATATATATATATATATATATGCTGAAATTTTGTAAATTCCGGTTTAATAATACTTTGATAAAGCTATTAGAAGCATTAAATAGCGAAACGTCAGTAAAAACAACAATATCGTTTTGTTTTTCATTCATTGGGAAATACAAAAACTTTTATTATAATGAAGAAAGAATAATAATTGGGAAAAACACTAGGCGTCAGTGCATCTGCGTGGCTGAGATCACATTTGATCCATATCTCCAACAGTAGAGAGAAAAGAACAAGAAGCTCATTCAAAGACATCTTTTCGATAATTTTATCCTCAAAGGTTGTACACTCGCATTTCTTTTATGTAAGCTTACATCCATCAGTCTGCAGCCACTGATTATTAGCATCTCAAGGACCCCAACTAGATTGCCTACACCTGCCTACATTGTTCAAACTACCTGTCAAAGGTTTCATGGACCTCATGTCAGATTTTGGTATGATTACCCCTAACTCTTTTCCAACTGAATCCGATAATGGCCAACATTATCAGTTAAGAAAGGCGGTAAGTCAGCATAAGTAACTCATGTCTTATCCGCCTGATTAGAATCCCTTTCACAACCTCATCGATTGACTAACTCTCCTCATCTAACACTCTACGCTTAACCTCAGTATAACTCACCAAACATTATGCCACTTATTACAGTATTTGGGACAAAAATATCTCTGAGCAATTCTAGTCATCCTTACTTTTTCTGGCCCTGCGTCACAGCTACAAAAGACGACAGGAACAACTGTTTGAGATGAGACTAGTGAAACAATTCCAATTAAGCTACGAAACTGAGAATATTTTACAATGATTGAAGAGCATTTTAAGTTGTTCCTGTACAAGTGCATTATGCAATCTAGTGAGTTGTTATTATTGATTACCTAATGTTGATATAACCAAGGAAGTAGTCATTCAGGAAGGGAAAAGACAAAGATCGAACTTGCTTCTTTCATATTCAAGCTAAATATATGTATGTGTGGATAGCTACAAGTCCACAGAAATCCGGTGAAGCTTTTTATTAAAACGTTGAAACAGGCGCATTGCGCACGAAAACTATTGAAATTCCGAAACTTATATTTCTGTTTCATTTCCTTCCTTATTTTTCAATTCTCATGTACTTATTCCATTTACATTTTTGTGAATATAAGACGATAGAATGCGATTAAGTGTTTTCACACTGTAAGATTGTTTAGTAATCTCATGAAATGTATTGAAAGTTGGATTTAATTCTCATCATGAATACTTTTAGAACTATCTCATTCTTATTCTTAAACGGAATGTGAAATTATTAAGCATCTTTAATGCTTAAAAATGATAAAGGCCAAGAAATAAACTTTCGGATACATGTTTTCTGTATAATATTGGGGTGAATTTGTGGAATAAGTGGATGATTTTGCTGCCCTAGTATTCCTTGAACTGGATGGTTTAATTACCATTCGATACGATTCCATATTTGGGAATTTTTCACAGATGAAAAATCTCCCTTTTAAGGGTCAATCGTATTGTGACTAGTTGTGTCCTTACAGTTCTCTGTATGACTGAATTTGCTTGTACTGATACTTGTCCCCTAAATGACTCAATATTTGACGTTTTAAC